TGCCCTAACTTCAAGACTCGCTTCCAGACGTGGCCAAGAGGCCGTTTGGAATGACTGAAGGGCTCCACGCACTGTCTCTAAGGGGAAGGGAGTAAGGCAGCTGCAGTTCCCGGCTGATGGCATTGTGTGTGCAGAAGCTTAAACAAGCCTGCCTGAACTGGTGATCTAAAGGGAATTCAGTTGTGTTTCCTGGATACTGACCAGTAGATCTAAAGAATATTAAACATCAGTGGATAGAGAATCTGCCCGTGGACTGAAGGGTCCCAGGTTCGATTCCGGTCAAGGGCATGTACGTTGGTTGTGGGCACATCCCCAGTGGAGGGTGTGCAGGAGAGCTGATCAATGTTTCTCTTTCATCGATGTTTTTATTTTTTTTATTTTTTTTAAATATATATTTTATTGATTTTTAACAGAGAGAAAGGGAGAGAGATAGAGAGTTAGAAACATCGATGAGAGAGAAACATCGACCAGCTGCCTCTTGTACACTCCCCACCGGGGATGTGCCCGCAACCAAGGTACATGCCCTTGACCGGAATCGAACCTGGGACCTTTCAGTCCGCAGACCGACGCTCTATCTACTGAGCCAAACCGGCTTTGGCTCATCGATGTTTTTAACTCTCTATTCCTCTCCCTTCCTCTCTGTAAAAAAATCAATAAAATATATTTTAAAATAAAAATTTAAAAATTGTGGGAGGAGGCAGGATACCTATTTGACTGAGTGGATAGAGTGCAGGCCTGCAGACTGAAGGGTCCCAGGTTTTATTTCAGTCAAGGGCACATGCCCAGGTTGCAGGCTTGATCCCCAGTAGGGGGCATGCAGGAGCCAGCCAATCAATGATTCTCTCTCATTATTGATGTTTCTATCTCTCTCTCTCTGCCTTCCTCTCTGAACTCAATAAAGTATTTTTTTAAAAAGCAGGGGCATTAGATGACAGAGAATAGTGTTCTTTCTAGGCTAGGAAGGATGCTGGTGATAGGCGGGATAAAGAGTGATTTAAGAATGAGAAATGAGAGTTCCCAGTGGACAGTAGCCATTCTGATTTTATTTGTGATAACAATCAACTTTATGAATACTATTAACTCCATACTTTTCTCTAAATTCAAGGAAAAATGAACTTACAGGGGAAATACCATTTTTTTTTTCTACTGAGAATCACATATCTTGAAACTATTAATGCCAGAAACATCACTTTAGTCGTTCATTCACCTCATCCTGTATGAGATTCCACTGAAATTTTGATTTCATAGGTGAGGACACTGAAGACAGTATCTGGGGTCAGAGTTGGGATTTAGGCTTTCTGACATGGGCTCAACTTAAGGAAAAACATGATAGTAGCTGCTGCATGCTTGACAGTAGGCTTTTCTACAATGTCAGGATGCGTTTATCTTTTTATCAGCAATTGCAGTGGTGGCAAACACAACTTAGGAAGTGAGAACAAGAGGGTCTGGCCTCGCCGGTTTGGCTCGGTGGATAGAGTACAGTCCTGCGGACTGAAGGGTCCCCGGTTTGATTATGGCCAAGGGCTTGTGTGGGAGGCAACCAATCAATGTGTCTCTCTCACATCGATTTTTCTCTGTGTGTGTATGTCTCCCCCTCCCTTCCATTCTCTAAAACTCAATGAGAAAATATCCTCTGCTAAGGATAACAAACAAACAAAAAAAGAATAAGAGGGTCTGCTATTTAACATAACTCTGAAGTTCTTATTTTTAAAATATATTATTGATTTCAGAGAGGAAGGGAAAGGGAAAGAGACATAGAAACATCAATAATGGGAATCGTTGATCAGCTGCCCACATACTAGGGATTGAGCCCACAACCTGGGCATCTGCCTGACTGGGAATTGAACCATGAACTCCTGGCTCACAGGTCGACACCCGACCACTAAGCCACATCAGCCAGGTAACTTTAAAGATCTAAATCTTTTATGTCATTATCTAGAAAATAAAAATAACAATATCTACTTCACACTTTCAATGATTACATGAGTCAATACACATGTTTTCTATAGAGTTCTACTTAACTCTTAAACACTATTACTCCCAAAGATATAATTATCAAAGATATGATTATACTGTTGTTTTTTTGTTAATACAAGTAGGAGCAATATTTAAACATTCTATCATATGAATTTCAGTAACAGTATTAGAAATATCTGCTTTACCTCATTTTTAACTATGTTCTTGTATGCCTGTATTATTTAAATATTAAAATTCACCATCTAAATAAACACCAATCTTGAAATACTTACTTTTTTTCAGTCAGTTTCCTTGCTGAAAAATAATAGCAAGTAATTTCTTGCAGAAGGCAATAAGTAGCACTATTTACTCACAGTGATTGTAATTTTTGTATTTGCCTTCTTAATGTATAACAGATGTGCAAAGCCATGGCTTTGTCCCACCCCAACTCCAAATGCTGGTGCAACATATGGCACCGAGTCAGATTACACCCTGTATGGGACACAGAAAAGTTCTTATGTGTCCATGCAGAGTATCCAACTTTGCTGTGATTTTTATTAGTTTATTCAGTGTGTATCTAACATTTTGTTGTTATTTGGCTAGGAAGAGTCAAATCCTAAAGGTGAACATAATTTTCCAAAGAAAATTTAAATTAACTTTATAGATCTCAAGGTTACTATCAAGGATGCATATATATTAAAATTCTAGTGGCTTCAAAATTTGGTACCTGCCAGAAAAGCCTGTAGAGAGGAGGAATGAGATGTATTTATTTTATATTATGACAATTACAAGTTGAAAGGTTCTGCTAGGTTATAAATGTGACCGTCATGATAAAAATTGTCAACTCCCAAAACAGGCCTGCACATAATTTATTAATGAAGATATTGCAACTATAGAACTGTAAAATCAAATGTACTTTACTCGACTTTAAAATAGTTGACAGGGCAAAATCAAGCCTTGCCTGTAGAGATCATTGAAATGGGAGGAGGCAAAGAACAAACAAACAAACAAAAACCCACTGCTGAATCTAAGAATCTGGTCCTCTTTTGCTTATAAATATTGGAATCATACATATATTGAGTATAAGTTATTTCAAAACTCTACACAAAATTATCACATCTTCCTGCCCCACTTTCCTACACACACACACACACACACACACACACACAAAAAAAAAAAAAAAAAATTCAGAGACTGGAAACTGACTCTCATTGTACATCATATATGTAATCACATAAAATTCACCTTAATATGCTTTGGAAGAGTTGATGGCATTTTGTGGATTTGAAAAATCCACATTCCTTTCAGTCTCCTGCAGTCAATTTTTGCCCTTACTCCTTAGCTAGCGTGAAAAGGGCCTGGGTAAAGCGGGCCACGCAGAAGCACCACTTTCCAGTCCTCGGTCCTTGTGGCTCAACTTGCATGACTCTCTGGGTGAGAGATCCTGAGATGCAGTTAGTTCTTCCACGTGGCACTTCCCTCCCGCTCTGTGACAGCCACGCTGGCCTTTTCAAGGCCACAGCAGCAGCATCCAGAAAGAGGTGACCTGCCTTAGGCATCTGAGAGCAAAGCCCAAATGGCAGAGGGCAGAATTGCCTGAAAGCAACCACAGGGCAGCACAAAGAACCGCAGTCCTCACCTAGGCAAAGGGGGGACTCCCTTCCATGAGGGAGGAAGGTGCTGGGTGTGGGGTCTGTCAGGAGACAGGGATGTTCTAGGACTGCTAAAACAGAACTCAGGCGAGTTATTGTTTATCACTTCAGGAGTAAATTTCATCTTGCACGACTGTCCTTGTAGAAGGAAACACAGCACCATTTCGCTCCCCAAGTGTTTTATTTTCAGCATATCACAGCTTAGAAATTTGGAAAGGAATAAAAATGGAAAGGAATGAGATTTTCCAAAGGTTGGCACAGGCTCTAAAGAATCACAAAAAAGCATCACTTGCTCTCCCGGCCTTCCCTTCCCTCCCTACCCCCCTTAGCCCCCACCCCACCCCCGTGGTCCTTAGGGATTGCACTGCAGTTTGGGTAATGAGGAAGTGTATTTGGTTCAAAAGTCAGAATACCGTCTCTCCTGAAAACCATAATTCCCCCCCCCCCCCCCCTTCCCCCAATTACCTTTTACTCTTATTTTCTGAAGTGTTCTACAACTTCTTGGTGAACTTTGAAATTTTTTACTTGGCTGGGCAATCTTAAATTTCCTTTAGGTTACAAAAGAGATTTGCCTATAGTACCCTCTTCTAATTGTTTCAACTTTTTCCCCCCATAATTCCTTTTATTAGACCTATTTTACTGGCATTAAGCAGCATAAATCCAAATGATAAAGTACAGGCCGGTGCATAGGCCTGTGATTCAGTCCCACTGAGCGTGAGTGTGCAGACACACACAAACCTTGCACAATTTACCATCCTGCAAACTACAGCAGGATGAGCTATGCACCTTTTAAAAATAACACCCTGATGCACAGACATACATACATTCTTTTCTCGGTCAATACAGCAAGTCATTTTTAAAAGAAGAAAAAAAGACTCACACCAGTGGGTTTGTTTAAAACTAAGCAGAGTTTGCTAATAACAGCAGATGTCTAGTTGTAATTCACTTCCCTAATGCTGACGAATATTTGTATTCATAAACAAATCAAATGAATTGCCAAGAGATAAATGCTATTGTTGACACCCCATCAGCTACTGGTTTCAGTTGTGCTCCTCAATCAGGCAAAATGTTCTTTCCCCAGCTTCTAACTATTTATTTTGCTTCCTGCCAATCTTGCAAATAATTCGTCTTGTGTGTCTTTTCCTCATAAATGCTCCCTGCAGCTTGATTGCTTGGCCTATGCAGCATTTTATTTCAGACTGCTATTTTACCTTTGTAAACATGTAGGACTGTCTCAGCGTGAGAATGCCCAAAAGGCATGCAAAAATGAGGCTGTAATTAGATCAGCCGAGTATATTGTACAGCTTACTTAGCTTCCTCTCTTTGTATCCAATATTGCATTCCCAGTCTCGGCGCAGAGCAGTAAATCAACATTTACTCCAGCGAAGAGGCCCTGGTATCAACATGTTTAATTTATTATTATTGCAAAGAACAGTTTTCCCATGACTAGTGAAAGAGAATACATAAAATATATTTAAGGATCTGCACTCAGACCACAAAGAACGGCGGTGGGGAGGAGGAAAGAGGAAAGCAGAAGACAAAAGAGAAAATAGAAGTAATATCAGTTACCACATGAGTTTTGTGGTAAAGGGGAAAAAAATAGAATATGACGTGCAATAGTGCAATTTTTCCTTTGCTAGTCCAGCAATGCAAGGCTCAATAGGAAGTCCACAAACGTCTTTTCCGAGTTTCAGGATTTAGTTGCGTGCCTGCCGGGGGTTAGCGTTCCTGCCAGACTTCTGACGCTGCGTGGAATCACTGTGGCTGGAATCACTCCTATTCAGTCCAAGGTGACGGAGCTTCATATCCCAGCGCTGTGAAATTTAAAACAGAAAAGTGGTGGCATGCACATGTTACCAGGGTTGTCCTTGCTAACTCTGACAACTGAGTGAGACTGCAGAGTCAGGTCTCAAAAGCATTTTACTACTTTCCAAAAGTATAAGCTCTATGTCCCAGGGTAACAATGAAATTGATGCTATACGAACATAATTCTCAGATTTTGAAAAGCACAAACTTGGCTAGCTATACCAATAATGCTTTTATATCAAACTTAAAGCTGAAAATTTCCATGTCAGTAAATGGTGACACAAACCTCTGTTGCTACCTGTGAGATTTCCTGAGATAACAAATACAAGGCTGGCCCTTCACAGGTGGTCAACAAATGGAAGATTTACGTAGACCCCTGGTCAGCAAACTGCGGCTCAAAAGCCACATGCAGCTCTTTGGCCCCTTGAATGTGGCTCTTCCACAAAGTACCACGGCCTGGGCAAGTCTCTTTTGAAGAAGTTTAAGTTTAAAAAACTAAGCTCTGAAAAGAAATGTCGGTCGTTGTACTGATGACATTTGGCTGTTGACTAATGAGTTTGCTGACCACTGACATAGGCCATTTGAACGAAGAGCTATTTTTCATCTTCCTCTCTTATAACATAAAAGGTCACAAAGTCCTTTAAATCCATGTGATTTGAGCAATGAAAGAAAAAGAAAATTTAGGTTGGGAACAGGGTGTCTTACAAATAGTTTTCTAAGTAACACCTACCAGGGCAATGAAGGCAGAGACTAGTTTCTGCCCTCATGCTCAGTTTTACAAAGCAGTCCTTACCAACCACAAGCAAGTTTACCAATGTTTCAGATGAACAATGTGACAATGTTTATATGGAATAAATAAATTAAAAGGGAGCTACATTATGAATATTATAAGCAGTAAAAAAGAATACTTCTCAAATTTCAACGAACAGAGAAATAACCTATAAATCTTGATCAATTGCAGATTCTCACTCAGTGGGTCTGCAAGGGGCCCAAGATGTTCAGATTTAACAAGCTCCCAGGTGATGCCACTGCTGCTGGTCCAGGGACCACACTTAGAGCAGCGAGGAGTGAATATCAAACTCCAACCCCATTGGTTACCATGCAGAGTTCCTTAAACTTTACTCCACCTCATTTTCATCATCAACCTATTGGAATTAATGATAGAATCTGCTTATAAGACTGCTCTGAAGAGTAACAGATGAAAAATGTATAAAGTGCTTAGTTCATAATAAATTACAATTTTTCAATTACCAAAAGTAATTCATTTTAAACACTTTATTCCACAGTCTTACTGCTTTCCATATTAAAAGAATAGTATGATTCTCAATTCTCCAAGGCAGGGCAAATATCTTAATTTGAACAACCTACTATACCAGACTTAAATAAACAACCATTTGCATGGAAAAAAATAAAAAGGTCTTTATTTAATTCTTGATCTAGCTACTGAAAGCAAAAAAAAAAAAAAAAAATCAGTTAAATGGGCAACTCTTATGCAAAACACACACACACACACACACACAAACACACACACACAAACACACACACAACTATTTTTCCTATCCTCAAATTGACTGGAAAACTAAAGATCTCCATTATTCTTTTTTATAATGAAATATTATTTTTCCTCCTTCCCCCTCCCCATTACTATTTATCCCCCCTGTGCCCTCTAATAATTCTAATCAAGAGAGATTTTTCCAGCCCAGCCCGTGTGGTCCAATGATTGAGCATTGACCTATGAACCAGGAGGTCACGGTTTGATTCCTAATCAGGGTACATGCACAAGTTGCGGGCTCGATCTCCAGTGTGGGGCCTGTAGGAGACAGCCAATCAATAATTATCTCTCATCATTAAAATCTCTCTCTCTCTCTCTCCCTTTCCCCTTCTCTCTGAAATCAATATATATATATTTAGAGAGGTTTTTCCACTATCAAGTTTACTAATAATCAAGAACTTTAGTCCTTGTAGCTGCATATGAATTAAATTGTTGAGCATGTTTAAATCTAGACTAAGAATACCAATAGTTTCACAGTAATAACGCTGTGTGAGTCCCCTATAGAAAGCAATAGAAAACGGGTTTGCCTTACTAAGCAACAGGACAAACAAGCCGTGCATCCTGGGTCTTTACATGATGATAATCATTTTGGTACCGAAAGAGAAGCCCTGTTCCATGCTTTGCAGCAGGGATGTTAACAGCTCTTCCATCTGGTACAGGAATTTAGGACACATTCCTGTTCTGCATTAGCAAGCAGAAACCAAGGTAAAAGGATAGGAGAGATTCCGAATACTGAAGAAGAGCCGCTTCTTAATAAACACCAAACTAATGGAAAGGAGATACAGACAGAGACTTCTCACAAGTCTAAACTTGAAGCACATCTCACTTTTGACAAGTATTGGGGGGGAGGGGGACGTGTAGAGCTTACTGGAGGGCAGTTTCTCCCTGCAGAGTAATGCCCTCTGCATTTCTGTAGGTCACTGGACTCCAATGTTTCAGCTGTGCTGAGAGCCAGATGTAGAAGGTAAGCTGCCCAGGGGTTTTTAGCTTACCCTGTAACTGTTTCCCACCCCTTCACACTCACAGAAGGAAGAGGATGTATTATGTTTGGTACAGTTTCCACTCTGACCACCCTTTCCCCACCCTATACACACACACACACACACACACACACACACACACACACACACACCCCCTTTTCAATTCTTTGCCCCTCTCTACATATTCTCCCATGTTCTTTGACACTCATTTGCTTAGTATAGTAAGAAGAAATGGCCCTACTGATTTGGTTCAGTGGATAGAGTGTCCGCCTGCGGACTGAAGGGTCCCATGTTCTATTCTGGTCAAAGGGCATGTACCTTGGTTACAGGCACATCCCCAATAGGGCATGTGCAGGAGACAGCCGATTAATGTTTCTAACTCTCTATCCCTCTCTTTTCCTCTCTGTAAAAAGTCAATAAAATATATTTTTAATCAAATACACACACACACACACACACACACACACACACACACGCCTAGGGATAAGCTTCCCTTTAAAAAAAAAAAGAAGAAGAAGAAGAAATGGAACCTTCTATATAAAGGGTAATTTACAGTGCTTTTTAAATAAATGCAACACTTCCAGAATTTAAGGTTCTCTGGCTCAAAAATAAAACTACATGACTGCTCTAAGGAGCTTCTTTATACAGATGAATGTGGCTGCACCTTGTACGCAGAAAATGGTGGCTATCCATTGAGACAATATTGGTAGTTTACTCCTTCTTTCTCCTCTTCGGTGACTCACAGAACTGCAATTTGTTCAAGGAAGCAATGTGCCAGCTGAACAAAACCATAGTCCCCAGCCTCTCTGCAATTAAAGTTGGACATGAGATCCAGTCGAATGTAAATGTTGCTAGATGCGGCACTTGGAAACTCCTCTTTACCTTTCTTTTCTTTCTTCCTATAATGTGCGATGCTGGAGGTGGGGCAGCTATCTTGTGACCTCCAGGTGAACATGAGTACGGAAGCAATATCCTTAAAAATGTCAGAGCAGGCCGAAACCAGTTTGGCTCAGTGGTAGAGCGTCAGTCTGCGGACTGAAAGGTTCCAGGTTTGATTCTAGTCAAGGGCATGTACATTGGTTGCGAGCACATCCCCGGTAGGTGGTGTGCAAGAGGCAGCTGGTCGATGTTTCTCTCTCATTGACGTTTTTAGCTCTCTATCTCTCTCCTTTCCTCTCTGTAAAAAAATCAATAAAATATATATATTTTTTAAAAATGGCAGAGCAGGAAGCTGGAAGGAGCCTGGGGCTCTAAAGATAATGTGGAGTCACCCTGCCAGGACTGGACCAACTACAACTAGAATTCGCATTGTGAGAAGCTAGGCAACTATAGTTACATTTCTCATACGCATACAGAGACCTTCCTACATGAAATCAATATTAAAGGCAAACTCAGTCCTTGGAATTTTAAATATACATACAGATATACCAGATTTTAATATTTCTCACGTAGTCGAGGGCACTCACTTTGTTTGCAACAAATGGCTGGTTTTCTGTGTAAACATAAAACAGAGGCTCACCTTAACTTTTTTACCCAGTCGATCCTTCCATTTTTCAGCAATAGAACCCTCCACCAACAGTAATCTGCATTTTTTAAAGCAAGCATGTTTGAAAATTAAAACACATTACCAAAAAATACAAGGAACCATTGCAAAGACTTAACCTGTTTATTCCAGAATAGAATGACCACGTTTTAGAACAGTAACTTTTTTAGAATAGTAATTTCTTTTTCATCTTTACTGTTCAAAGTACTACAGACGTCCCCTTTTTATTCCCTTCTAGCCATCACCTGCCCCTCCCACAGATCTTTACCACAACATCATCTGTGTCCATGGGTTATGCATATGTGCATACAAGTTCTTTGATTAATCTCTTCCCATCAACCCACCTGCCCCCACCTTCCTTCTGAGATTCTACAGTCTTACAACAGTAATTCTTAACCATTTGGGAGCCATGGACCTCTTTAAGGACAAATGAAGTTATGACCCCTCTCCCCAGGAAAATGCACACCCACAAATTATACACAAATACTTGCAATGGAGGGACCCAACTAAAAACTATCTGTAATCCCCTAGTAGGCAGACAGATCCCAGGGTCAGAACCCCAGTGTAAGATCTCTAGAGAAGCACAGTAGGATAGGAGAAGCGGAGGAAATGTTCTGCATCCTTCAGGAGCGAATTACCTGGAGCGCTCCTCATCTTCATAGCCCATGATGATGTACTCCTCGTTAACGTTCAGTGGGGGACACAGGCAGCCGGAGCTGGTGTAAAGGGTGACCGTGTCCCTTGGGATGTTCACCAGAGAAGACTTCAGGATCTCCTTCACCTCGACCACTGCAGTCACATCGTGGCACTTGGACTTGACCTCTTTAACTTTGGCCCGAATGACTGGGTAAAAGACAATGAAGCTGATACGGTCATGTGATCCACAACAGGTGCCACGTTAAAAAAAAAAAAAAAAAAGACAAGTAGGCTCCTGTCTAGTCGGTTCTTCTCTACTTGATGCTCAATGAATGGAGAGGAAAAGTCAGCCAGATTTCTGTCCTAGATGTTAGTGAGTGACACACTACACAGCACACCTGTCCCCTTAATGTTCAGCCCTGATCCCCTTCCAAATAGTGGGTATGTATTTCATTGAGAAAAATTCATCTAGATAATCCAAGGTCGGGTCAATCATAATTTTCCTCAAAAATTTCATCTGGATGTGTGTCTGTGCGGGTCTGCAGTTTCCATTGCTGCCAACAGAAACTGTATTAATTTCACTATATGTAAAGACCCAGTACTTAAATAGGCTTTGTTTTCTTGTCAGTATTCTTTTATCAGGTCTATTAATAGATTTTCTAAAGAATTGGGGTCTTATTAGGGTTATAAAGATGTCCTGTTCTATTGTGTTTCCAAACTATTTCTGTGATCTTTTCACCTTCCTCACGTTAGCTCCCTGTTTACATTATACACCAGCTCCTTTTCCCTTTGTTTCAGTACAGCTTTTCTTTTATATTCTCCTGGAAGCATTCGACTTTTTTTTTTTTTTTTTTTTTTTTTTTTTTTGTAAAAACAGTCACCACTAGATCTTGCTTCCTCCATTCTCTTTGAAGTCAGTCACTCCAACATTCCTTCCCTTCATGGGCTATGGAACACAGTCTAACATGTCAATCGCATTAATCTACCTCTCTTGATGGATATACTGACACCCAGTTTACCTCACAAGTGTTGGCTTCACTTCTCAGTATAAAGACAAACTGCCTTAAAAATAATCAATTCAGTTGCAAAGTTGAAGTGTTTGACTCATAATCTAGCAAGTACAGATTTGCTTCTTTTCTGTATTTCTCTTCTGTGGAGGGGCCAAATTCTTTAGATTCCTACTTGTGGCAAATGAGCTCTTTTTTTCTTTCTTTCTTTTTTTTTTTCTTTTTTTTCCATAAAGGGAGTTTGAAAAAGCCTGTGAAGTAACAAGTGTCAATTTGCAAGAAGCCAATGGCTCTCTCCCAGGCACCCTCATTGCTCTGGTTCAATATCCTTGGATGTTATATGGAGAAATAGACTTGTCCAAATGAACCCATTTTTTAAAAGCCTCTTAGGCACATATCAGCAGATCACTTTCAGCTGAGTCACAATATTTTAGAAGTTTTGGACTAAAAAAAAAAAATGAAAAAAGTAACCCATGAAAATTAGCCAATTAATAGCTGCATCCATGCCCCCACTCCATACAGAAACTTACTTAATATTCCACCAGTACAATGTGCACACAATAGAAGTTAAGTTACTAATTCTGAAAAAAATTAGGAGAAAAACCTCATTTTTGCTTCACAGGTATTTTAACTTTCAGAAAATTGTGTCTCAAATATGAGAACTTACAGAAAACAAAACACAACTGCCCCTGCTTGGTGTGACTTGTGAGCAAAGGAATCCCTCTCTGTCAGTGTTCTATTCCGTATTTCAACAAAAGATAAGATTTCCCTTTGGGAAATGTCATTTTGGAGAGTCAGATGATAAATTCACAACCCAGCCAGCAGACATTTTTGGGGTCCTGGTTTATGTGAATGTGCTTCGCAGCATCCATCAACTCTCAGAGATTAGCGAACTGTGCAAACTTTCTCAAACTAATGATTTATTTACCCATGTGGCTACTATTTTCGTTAGAAATTTTTAGCACACATACCCCCTCCAAAATAAATACCTCTCTGCAAGACTTACTTTATTATTCAGTAATTTTGTGAAAGCTCAAGAAATTTTACCTGAACTAATTCTGAATGAAGCAGAGGTTTTATCTGAGTTATCGATTGCTCCCACCCCAACTTTGTTTCTTCAATAGACACATAGATATTTACGAAAATCAATATACTTGGGGATTTTAAATTTTTTTCAGAGGATTTTTCCCCCTGCTATTTAGTCATTGGAGTGCCTGCCTTCCCCAAAGAAGCTCTAAGTAAGACTCAGACAAGTGAAAATCCTTAAACCATAGGCAACCTGGTTATTATTGTTTGGTTATGAGAAAGTATCTTCTCTCCATTGATTGTGATCTGTACCCCATTTTATGTGATAGCATTCTTTCAACTTCCTTGTTGAAAATATTCTCTTTCCATGACTTGCAACCACTAGTATTTTTATTTTCAACAAAAATAATATTATTATGGGTGCGGACGCAGTTGCGTGAGGGCTTTTTCTCCTTCCTCCGAGCGGTGGAGCTAAGCTTGTTCCTCTCCGTCTCAGCCGCGCAGGTTGAATTGACCAAAGCAATGGTTATGGAGAAGCCTAGTCCCCTGCTGGTCGGGCGGGAATTCGTGAGACAATATTACACTCTGCTGAACCAGGCCCCAGACATGCTGCACAGGTTTTATGGAAAGAACTTTTCTTATGTCCACGGGGGATTGGATTCAAATGGAAAGCCAGCAGATGCAGTCTATGGACAGAAAGAAATCCATAGGAAAGTGATGTCACAAAACTTCACCAATTGCCACACTAAGATTCGCCATGTTGATGCTCATGCCACTTTGAATGATGGTGTAGTGGTCCAGGTGATGGGATTGCTCTCCAATAACAACCAGGCTTTGAGGAGCTTCATGCAGACATTTGTCCTTGCTCCTGAGGGCTCTGTTGCAAATAAGTTCTACGTTCACAACGATATCTTCAGATACCAAGATGAGGTCTTTGGTGGCTTTGTCACTGAACCTCAGGAGGAATCTGAGGAAGAAGTAGAGGAACCTGAAGAAAGACAGCAAACACCAGAAGTGGTACCTGATGATGGTGGAACTTTCTATGATCAGGCTGTCAGCAATGACTTGGAAGAACATTTAGAGGAACCTGTTGCTGAACCTGAGCCTGATCCTGAACCAGAACCGGAGCAAGAACCTGTATCTGAAATCCAAGAGGAGAAGTGTGAGCCAGTATTGGAGGAAACTGCTCCTGAGGATGCCCAGCACCCACAGACATCGCTCAGACAGCGCAGGAAGACTTGAGGACATTTTCTTGGGCATCTGTGACCAGTAAGAACCTTCCACCCAGTGGTGCTGTTCCGGTTACTGGGATACCACCTCACGTTGTTAAAGTACCAGCTTCACAGCCTCGCCCAGAGTCTAAGCCTGAATCTCAGATTCCACCGCAGAGGCCTCAGAGGGATCAAAGAGTTCGAGAACAACGGATAAATATCCCTCCCCAGAGGGGACCTAGACCAATCCGTGAGGCTGGTGAGCAAGGTGATGTTGAACCCCGAAGAATCGTGAGACACCCTGACAGTCACCAACTCTTCATTGGCAATCTGCCTCATGAGGTCGACAAATCAGAGCTTAAAGATTCCTTTCAAAATTATGGGAATGGGGTGGAGCTGCGCATTAACAGTGGTGGGAAATTACCCAATTTTGGTTCTGTTGTGTTTGATGATTCTGAGCCTGTCCAAAAGGTTCTTAGCAACAGGCCCATCATGTTCAGGGGTGAAGTCCGTCTGAATGTGGAAGAGAAGAAGAATCGAGCTGCCCGGGAAGGAGACCGGCGAGATAACCGCCTGCGGGGACCTGGAGGCCCTCGAGGTGGGCTGGGTGGCCGAATGAGAGGCCCTCCCTGAGGAGGTGGTGCAGAAACCAGGATTTGGAATGGGAAGGGGAATTGCTCCAAGGCAGTGAAGTGCTCTTCACTGATTGATCTTCACGCAGCAGCACAAACACCGTTCCTGCAGAATGGTGATTTCTTCAACCATCCTTTGGTATCTTGCAGTATGACCCTGGTCTCTTATAAACTGCTTAAGTTTGTACAATTTTTCTTTTTGTGTTAATGGTGTGTGTGCCCTCCCTTTCTCTTTTCTCTCCTCACCTTTTATTCCTTCACTTCCAATTTTGTGGAATGATATTTTAGGAAAAATGGATTTTTAAAGAAGAAAAGAAAAAAAAGACTGAATTTCCTTGCTTTACTTTGCATATACAGACTGGATTTTTTTTTTTTTTTTTTAAACAGCCATTTCCCCAAAGGAATGTGTCGCTTATTACTGACATTTGGTATGTGTTTCATTTGTGGGATATTTCTTACTTATTTTCTACATGTTTCAAAAGCCTTTGAGAAATACAGGATTTGATAAACATTTTGAAGGCAGGAAAACCCCCAAAATTGTTTCCTTTGAGAGTCATGACTACCTTCTGGTGTGGAGAAACTGCCATTGGAAAATTTAACAATTTTGATTCTCGCTGATATGGATAAAAACTGAATAAAAGATGTTAGTGAAAAATAAAAATAATAATAATAATATTATGAAAGCTGGATAAAGTAAAAATTGATTAAATAAAGTAAAATAAATGCAAACTCAACTGAACTTAAAGCACCTTTAACGCTCCATTCCTCCTCAGGCTCTTGAGGGGGTGAGTCCCTCCCACCCAGTTGGAAACGTATCTCTATACTTGGTTACATGATTCTATGACACAGCACTGCTACCTGATATGCTTCAAAATCAATGATTTGTTAAGAATTTTGCCCACATCAGACATTTTATTTGTTGTTGCTGTTGTTGTTTTTTGTTTGTTTGTTTTTTTCACATCAGATATTTTAATTATTTGGGACAGGTATGCTCTCAAAAATTGTCCTTATTTATTTGCCTTTAAGTCTTATTCTTGAACTGCTCTACTAAGTTACACACACACACACACACACACTTCTTTACACAGTAGTTTATAGATCAACCACGAAGTTATCCTTACCATAGTTGTAATTGTTTCGGAAATAGGTCTTCTGTGTAGCTCTAATAGGCTTACATTTGCAGCGTTCTGAAAAATATAACATTTTCTCTGTAAACAAAATTTCAACATTAGCTTTATTTATTCACACTTTTTTGGTTGATTAGATTCAATTTGGTGGCAATAGGGCTCTTAAGAGATTCTATGTGTCTGATATCTTTGTCTGGAATTAAATTTATCTTCATTCTCTCCACATAGATTTATTTTCAATAACAGTAGACTCAAAAGTTCCTCCTCTCTAACAAATTACCCGGACCCTGAGCAAACACTTTCACCACCAAGCAGGAGGAGAACATGAATCCTGAAAGAGGATGCTCTGTGCTTATGAAAGTAGAATTAGTGCCTAATGAGAGGCAGCTTTCTTCTTATGCTCAGGTAACTGGTTTACCCCTCGGAATACCCTTACATTCATAGAAGCCTTACAGGTTACACAGCACTCCTCCAAATCTTAGTTCCTGAATCTAAAAGCTACCCAATGAGAGAAGCAGGTATTATTACAAGCTGGTGCACTTTGTGAGGTTTTTAAGAAGAGAAGCTGAGCTCCTTCATAGGCAGAATACCTGCTGTTTAACTCAATGGCATCTTTACGGTTAGTGGAGGAAATTACTACATGCATATTTTGAAATGAGAAGGTTCATGTTTTTTTAAATATTTGATGAGTAGTGACCAGGACACATTTTATGTGTAATTTAGGTCTATGTCACAGAAGTTCTAATTATCTCAAAATGTTTAATATATAGGACAAATCATTTAACATCTTGGAAATGTACTGCTATATTGTTTACAGGTTAGTTGAAAAATATATTATACATGCATCATAACATGGTAGGTTGTTAGTCATGAAAGTCAATAGAAGGACAGAAAATAATACACAATTATTTTTTAAAACATTTTAATTTGTGTAAAGGGTTTTTTTTAAATAGTGCTCCAGAGAAAGTTTCATTAAAAATGAGTGGGCCATAGCCGGTTTAGCTCAGTGGATAGAGCGATGGCCTGCAGACTCAAGGATCCTAGATTTGATTCCGGTCAAGGACATGTACCTTGGTTGCGGGTACATCCCCAGTGGGGGGGTGCAGGAGGCAGCTGATTGATGTTTCTCTCTCATCGATGTTTCTAACTCTCTATCGCCCTCCCTTCCTCTCTGTAAAAAAATCAATAAAATATATATTTTTAAATAAAATGGTATTTGTTTCTTCTATTTTGACACAGAAAATTAAAAAAAAAAAAGAACACACAAATCACAGTAGGAAGCCAATAAAAATATTTTGTTTAAAAAGTGTTTTATGTTAGCATTGAGACTAATAAAAGGCAGAAGCTTTTGTTGACTACGTATGTTTTCAAGTCAAAATAAATTTTAATTTCAGTCGAACCTACAGATTACATGTTTTAAAGTACGCCAGTCCCAAGGAGAGTAGAAGCTTTTAGATTCTGGAACTAAGCACCTCAACTGGGGACAGGTGCTCTTCTGCAGAGCAATAGTGGCAACAACTATTGTTCTCACCCACGGGAGAGGTGAGAAATTCCTCATTGCTATGCATAGCATTTCCCCTATTCTGCAGATAACTTTTCACACACAATTTCTGCAGAATAAATATTTCAAGAAAATAAATAATGGGTAATATCAGTGCTGGTTGCTATTTTAAAGAATAATAGCTTTCTTGTTAGCAAAACATTTATATTCCCATTAAAAGAAAATGGAAAGTTATCTAATTCTACTATAAAACTTTATTTTATACAGAAATGTTACACATTTTTTAAGGAAAGATGTTTTTGAGATGAGACTATTTCTGAAGATTTACAAATTATCCTCATCCATATAACAGTAGATAAGGGCATGTGCTTTTCTGTAGTTTAAAAATAGATATCTAGGCCGAAGCCGGTTTGGCTCAGTGGTAGAGCGTCAGTCTGTGGACTGAAAGGTCCCAGGTTCGATCCCGATCAAGGGCATGTACGTTGGTTGCAGGCACATCCCCGGTAGGGGGTGTGCAAGAGGCAGCTGGTCGATGTTTCTCTCTCATCGATGTTTCTAGCTCTCTATCTCTCTCCCTTCCTCTCTGTAAAAAATCAATAAAATATATTTTGAAAAAAAATAATAGATATCTAACACAAGGATCAGTGTGGCTCAGTGGTTGAACTTTGACCTATGAGGAGTTGACAGTTTGATTCCAGGTCAGAGCATATTCCTGGGTTGCAGGCTTGATCCCCAGTAGAGGGCATGAAGGAGGCAGCCAATCAATGATTCTCTTTCATCATGGATGCTTCTATCCCTACCTCTCCCTTACTTTCTGAAATCAATAAAAACATTTTTAAAAATAAAACAGATATCTATCAAAATAATGCATGTAGATAAATAACTGCACATTTGTAATTCTTCAGAAATTTGCACATCTATATATATAAAAGTCTAAGTGACCGTTCAACCAGTAGCTATGACATGCACTGACCACCAGGGGGCAGATGCTCAACACACAGGCATGAAAACATGGAGTAGACTGATGAATTTCAGAGGGAAGAGGGGAGGGAGGAGGGTGGAAAGAGATTAACCAAAGATCTCATATGCATACTAGAGGCCCAGCACATGAATCCATGCACCAGTGGGGTCCCTAGGCCTTGCCTGCAGGGATCGGCTGAAATTAGCAGTCTGACATCCCCTGAAGGGTCACAGATTGTGAGAGGGCATAGGCCAGGCTGAGGACCCCTCCCCCCCCAACCCACCCACAGTGCACAAATCCATGCAAGGGCCTCTAGTACTCTAATAAAATAAAATAAAAACTCTTGGCAAAAACATAATCACTGGACTGAGTCTAATATGTCATTACCATATAACTTCACTTGAAGCATAAACAAATAGATATCATAAAACTTCCCAAGCAGAGATTTTTCAAAAATTATATCATAAAGTGATTTACAAAGATTTCAAGTAAGTATTTACATAACTGTACATACACAACTACATAGACATAGCTAGACCATTTCCTATCTAATGAGCTAAGCAATTATGTTCTTGGGACAAAATTTTGTTCATTCTTATAACGGTCACTTAGGCCTCAGAAGTGGCAATGCCATACCATATATGTGGCCCTTTCCATGTTCCAATTCCTAGCTATTGCTATAAGCAATTATCTGTCTAGTTGAAGTAATTAGTAGCTCAATGAAATAACAGGGTAATAAAAGAAGTGGGATTTTATATCTACAAAGTTCAAATGTGCAAGAACTTCCTTTCACTTATTTATGCTAACTCACTCAAACATATTCATGAAAGTGTGTCTTAGCGCAATACATCTGAAGGATTATCCTTTTCCTAATGTTTACTCACATCTACATATACAAGTGGCCAGATTATTCTGATCTCTGAACACATAATAATTTGGCCAGTCAGTGTGTGCGTGTGTGTGTCTGTGTGTGTGTGTGTGTGTGTGTGTGTGTGTGTGTATTTTAGAGGTTCAGTGCATGAATTAGTGCATGGATGGGGTCTGGCCAGCCTGGCCAAGGGAAGGGGACATGGGTGGTTGGCCGGCCTGCCTGCTGATCAAACTACTGGTGGAGGGGAAAATCTGCATATTAGCCTTTTTTTATATAGGATATACACTGAGTGGCCAGATTATTATGCTTTCAGAGATCATCATAATCTGGTCACTCAGTGTATATTCCCCAAAGCCCCAAAACTGGAAAATTGTAAAGAATTATAGAAGGCTACACTGCATACATTGTTTATTATTTTTTGTACTTGCCACCCTAAATCAGACTGTAGCAGCTTCTTTTTCTTTACTACCATGTTTCCCCGAAAATAAGACATCCTCCGAAAATAAGACCTAGCGCATGGAAAGATAAGACATCCCCTGAAAATAAGACCTAGTGCAACTTTGGGAGAAAAAATTAATATAAGACACTGTCTTATTTTCGGGGAAACAGGGTACCAATAGCTGGTTTCTCAGACTTTTATTGCGCCACTAGTATTATTATCATCTCTGCTTCAATTTAATTTGCTAATAATTTTGCTAATAGTCTTCCTCTCCAGCTTCCCAATGGCACAAGGTTTTTAAATTTTATACCGGTCAAATAAAATCTATTTACTGCGCTTTGCACAAAAACAATTAGAAATTAATCTGCTTGCATTCCACTGTTGAGAAGAAAAGCTTGTAAAGAAATTGCCTTGGTGTTCTTATCAAAGGAAAAAAGTATGAAAAGGAGCTGGCAGCAATAAAAGAAGTAAGTGACGAAGCGTTCTTCAACTGTAGGGAAGGTTTTCACGTGAGTTCATCACCCTAGTACAAGCCTGAGTTTGCAAAATTAATGTGCCCAGCGCTTCATAGACCATGGTCTGCACTTCAGGGAGATGCCCTACAGGGCACTGTGGTGCCCAAGAGGAAAGTGGTCGCACACTTTGCTCAGTTTTCTGCTCATAAATATTGGCTCATTTACTGAAAACACATGAAGGTGATATTATTTGAAAGGGTCATATTGTTTTACAAGCTCTAAAGAATTATAAGAACCTGATACAAGTATGCAATTTGATTCTCACTGGACCTTAATGCATCCTTGTTTGAATTCAAGCTGAAGTGGGATTTGACTTTCAAGCTAACCCTGACCTTTGTTTGAAATTGACTTCCTGCCGAAACTGGTTTGGCTCAGTGACTAGAGCATCGGCCTGTGGACTAAGGGGTCCCAGGTTCGATTCCGGTCAAAGGCATGTACCTTGGTTGTGGGCACATCCCCAGTGGGGGGTGTGCAAGAGGCAGCTGATTGATGATTCTCTCTCATCGATGTTTCTAGCTCTCTATCCCTCTCTCTTCCTCTCTGTAAAAAATCAATAAAATATAAATAAATAAATAAATAAATAAATAAATGAAATTGACTTCCTTTGGGTGTCAACCAAACCTGTAAGACTCTAATTACCTTGGCCAGATTTCAAAACTCCTATAACCTTCCTTGTGCCATGACTTCGGAATACTACTATCCATGAATGAGCATTTTTCTGCTTTTTAAGGAAAAGACCTTAGATTTGTGCTCAGGATTTATTGTCACAGGGG